GCTCAATTGGGCTCTCTAATCAAGGGCATTTCACTGTGTTGTATCCTAACCCTTCTTCCATAATTGAGATTAATAATATTTGATGATTTTTATATATTATCTTTTTACTTGTTTTTTTTAATGAGTGAAACACACCAAAGCGCACCAAACTGCAAAACACCAGGTGTTGTTAAGTAATGAACGAGAGGAGGGCTAGGATGACAGAATTGCAACCTTGCTTCAAGGCAAAGGCAGTGAAAGGAAGCAGAGGCGCCTTTGTCTAAGTCATAACCACAGAAAGCCAGGAATCATCACTGATTGTGTGTTAGGGATTCCGAGCTAATTAGAACACGTGCACACAGAAAGGGAGGTAGAAGCACGCCTTGTTCTCCTGCAGCTGAGGAAACAAAGATAAACCCAAAAAGGCCTTGGACCTGAAATTAAGAATAACATTCCCAGAGCAGAAGGTTGGAGGGCCACAGGGAGCTGATTTAAAAGAGTGTTGTATATCTCTCAAGGCGGGCAAGACCCAGCTGAATAACAAGCCTGCGGGGGTCACCAGAAGTTCGCATTCGCCTAGTTAAGACAAAAAGCTCAATTATTCTGTATTGCTATTAAAGTAACGTTAAAGTCGGAATTTAACAACAGGGTAGGCTAAAGTTATTGATATTCACACCCACTCCAATTAAACCAGGCCACAAGTTACGCCTACTGAACCATCACCATCATTAAGTCAAATGAAATGTTATTTCCATACTTTAATACTTTCTATGCAACTCGACCCGAAGCATATGACAATCAGAACCTTCCTAAGTCAAAATTGAATCGCACCCAGACAGGAGCGAATATATCATATATAAGGTTGAAGAGGGAAGGAAATTAAGAGCACGGCGGCAGACAAAAACCAGAACTGACTCCAAGGCTCAACTGCCCTCACCTCAGGAGTGACGGAAATTAATGAGGCCTTGAACAACGGCCAGCTGGACGGCAACAACAACGGCGAGCAGAGATAGGGTGGGGCAGAGACTGCGGGGCTATGAAATGCAACTTCGTGTCAGTAAAGCTCTGACAGACAAGTTAAGTTAAAGACATCACAATACATAATATCTACATAACATCAATGTTAACGCTATTCACCGTAAACTAAAGTAAAACTTATGAAAAGCCAGGATAACGGGATGAATCACCACCAGGTCGAATATAATACATAATAAAAAAAAACGATGTTAAACCCAGGGTCGGAGAGGAAGGGAGATCCCGGCCGTCTTTGTATCCCCGCAGCGCGGGATAGGAGTGTGTATACGCTCGGGGAAACACCTCCACTTGAGTCAAGCACCACGATGGGAAACGACAGACCTTAGGTTACATACAGAATCATAACTGTGAAATAGTAAGGGACAAATGTTAACTTAAAACTTTTAACCATTTCTTTGTGCACCGGGTCGGAGAGAGCGTTGCCCCTCCCTCCAGGTGGTGCGAACAAAGACGCCTATGAGACATTTGTAACGTCTGTGTTTTGGGTTCATGAAGAAGGCCAGACAAGAGATAATATTGCACCCAGACAGAGAGACGACCTCGAGGCAATTTGTAACATCTGATTGTTTGCTCGTGGGTTCATGGAGGGAGTGGGACAACGGAATACCGTGAGTAATGCACACGGACATACGGACGTACGGACACACACATGGACACACCTGCCTACGGACAGATCCTGACACAGCAAAAATCGGAAAGAAGCCCCGCCTTGTGGGCGGGATCCAGGGGGATTTTTCGGCATAAAGTAAAGGATCCTGAGCATTGGAAATCAGTGCGACGGGAGGGTCGACTCAGGAACGAGTGCGACCAGAGTGGGTCCACTCAGGAGTGCGACCAGCGGGTCCACTCAGGAGTGCGACCAGAGGGTCGACTCAGGAGCGAGGGCGACCAGCGGGTCGACCCAGGAGCGAGCTCGACCGGGAGGGTCGACTCAGGAGCGAGCTGCGACCAGCGGGTCGGCTCGACTCATCTTCAGCTCGTCAACCTCTGCCGAATCGGGGGTCTCTGCTGCCACCGGAGTGGTGAGCATCGCGGTTCGGCGACAACCCAGAGCTGCACGCTACGAGCGAGTTGTGGGCGCCACCTACCGACCGGGTTCCGAACTGCGACAGCGTATCAACAGCCATCCGAACCAGTTCGCCACGGTGACAGGGGATCGACTGATACGTATGACGCGCACCGCCCCCTCACCACACGACCACCAGGCGTCTGTTTGACCTAAAGAATCGACTCCGAACACTGACTATTCAAGACAACTCTTACCACTCAAAAACACTCGAACCCATAAGCCATCCGTGGCTGGAAAGCATCACAACGAGACCGAGTGATGGCCCTCCGTCGTTTATAAGAGTATTCTTAATTTTTATCTTTAATATTTAGTGGGCTGTACTCTTAATCGCATAAATTCCCAACAGATCCATCAATACGAACTGATTCTTGGCACCTCCTTCCGCCGAGCCACGCTCACGTGGGGAGTGGTGGCCCACCGGATCCTTATCAGGTGATCTGGTCCCCAATTAGTAAACTTGGTATAAGATAACGAGCTTCGGAAAAGGAGCACCGTCGCAGGCCCTTACTCCGAGCCGTTCTGTTGTCAGATAACCTGCCGATGTATCTGTTGAGATTGGTGCCTTTAAGAATAATAACTGTTTTTGATTGTGTTTTTTTTATCGCCGTATAATCTTTCAAGTATCTTTCAGTCATAATCGCCGCACGTACTCGCATCCTCTACAGAATATTCAACTGTCCCGTGACCCAAGGTGTTAACAACGTGATAAGGGTTGCGTATGGTCAATAAGGAGTGTGGTACTGCGTTATGAACAATATTGAGTATAATCATTCATTAACATTAAGGTTTTCTTAGCATAGTATTTGCGTGTTTTAACGACTCTCTCTCTCACTAACAACCATCGCGTTATGCGGGATCCATGTGCAGTTGTCAAAGTGAAATCAGACAATCGTTGATGATACTGTATTGATGCCGTGTTGACGTTCCGGGATTGAGAGTTCGCATATTATATCATAGTTAAGGTTGAATTAGTAATAAATTGATCAATACAGAAGTGGTTGTGTGATTCTTTCCTGAAATCTATGCATAAGATCTGCTTCTGCGTTGAGATTTGAACTTGGTGACCTTAATAAACACACTAATACATACTCAGTAAATGTTAAAGCGATAACGGGGTGAACCGGGGACCTAAAAATATAACCACGAATAAAAACTCTGGGAATGTTAAAGCGAGAATGAGACGAACCTAGACAACGATGCCGAGTTAATCTAAGTTAATCTTGCATACTTACACCACACCTGCATAACTGCATACGATTAATTGCCTTATTCCGATCGATAACCCACCCTCGTCACCGAGGCGGGGTCTGGTTATCATAACGACTTGTATTATCATAATTACACCCACTCGCATAATTAATCCGATTACCTCTCGAATTGGCATAATTAAAATGTGCGTAATTACATAAATTAACATATTTCCGGATAATTACACATTTGGCCAGATTTCATTTAATAATTATTATTTTCACTGAATATTCATAACACACAGGTACAACATAATAATTTCACCCACGCACGCATACAACATAACAAATTTTCTTAACCCAACATATACAACAACTGTCCCCAGATGAATTGCTCGTCAGCTTTGATGTAGTTTCTCTGTTCACCAAGGTTCCTGTACCAGACACCTTAGCAATAATTGAAGACTTAGTCCAACATGGACTGAATCCTGATGTACCTACTCTGGTTAGGCACTGCCTTACCAATACTTACTACACCTGGAATGGTACTTTCTACAAACAAAATGAAGGTTTCCCCTTATCACCAGTGATTGCAAATGTTTTCATGGAGAAATTTGAAACAGATGCCATCCAGACATCCACCCTATGTCCTTCATTGTGGAAGAGAAATGTAGATGACACTCTCGGTATTTGGCCTGCCAGCATTGAATCAATTTCTCAACGACATCAATTCCATACACCCATCCATCAAATTCACCATGGAAGCGGAGAAGGATGGTAAGCTACCATTCCTGGATGTTTTGTTTGAGAAGAGACCTGACGGCTCGTTGGGACACTGTCTACAGATTCCTATCTGAAACCTGATTCCCACCCCCATCCGGCACAGAATTCTCATCAAAACACTACACAATAGGGCCAACTGCATTTACGACCGACACCACCTAGCCAGTGAACTGGAACATGTACACCAGGCCCTCAAGATGAATGGCTACTCAGACCGCATTATTCGCAAAGCTGTTTCTCCAACCATGGTCAAACAACCCCCTGAGAAGCCGATCAAAACCATCACGTTACCATACATAGCAGGTGTTACCAAACAGATTTCCAAAATATTAAACAAACACAAGATCCAAGTCCGATTCAATACAGTACACAAAATCAGTGATCTAATCCCATCTGTGAAGGATGTCATTCCTGACATGCAATATATTGGAGTTTACAAATCTAGTTGTACCTGTGGTAGCAGTTACATTGGGGACACGAAACGACATGTCTCGGACTGTGTTCGCGAACACAAGGCAGAACCAATACCTCTGCCGTGGCTGACCTTTGTTATAACGCTGTGGGCTCGCATGATATTGTTATTTCCGAGACCAAGGTACTCTGCAAACCTTCTGGCTACTATAAAACGTTTGTTCATAAAGCCATCCAGATATATAAACATAACTTCAACCGAGATGGATACAAATGGAGCAGTCATTGAAAAGATGTTATTAACCAAGTAAAACCTTAACTGTTTATGGTTGTTTCCATCATATCTGCCGGGTACTAGCCTATTTTTCCGAGTTAATTTCTCCCCGAATCCCCAGCTTTCCACTTCCAGCCCCGCCCACTTCCCCCCCCCACCTCATGTCCTCTCTCCCCCGAACGCTCACGCAGCGCCCCCTCCCCCATACCCCCCCCTCTCTCTCTCCCCCCTTGCTGCTCCCCCTTTTCTTACCTATATAACCTCTTGCCACGGCAGCTCTCTCGCCCACTTCAGCAAATGTTTTCTTGCTGTGGTTGTCCCACCTGATGACGGACGCTTGTGTGGCGCCCGAAACTTCATGATTTATTTAATTTGATTTCTAACTACGTGACTTTACCGAAAGAACCAAAGAGTAAATGGATTCCTGCAGTCACGAAAGCTTCAAATCAAAATTCGTTAATACATCTTTAGTACCAGATATTAGTTTTTGTATTTTGTGTACTGTGCCAACTCTGATTCGGATATTTTGTTTTTCCAAATATCTGGCTAGTTGATGTTCGGTATTTTAGTAGTAGTAGATATTTTTGGGAAAAAAAAAAACATCCTAGTCAGATTTGGCATGGTACATAAAATACATAAACTAATATCTAGTACTGAAGATTTATTAACGAAGCATTCAACAGGTTTGCAACGGATTAATTGCACTTGTGCCAAATGCTATATTGGGCAGACATGACGAATCATCAGCACGACCAAAAGAACACAAAATAATATCAAATACTCCCAAATACAACTGTCAGCAGTGGCAGAATACGCATGCCAACAATGACACTCAAGTGATTCTGATCATTTCAAAGGTCTGTGCAAAACTAGTTACTACCTGCCAAGACTAATTAAATAATCCATCGAAATTGAGAAAAATAATTGTAAACATTCCGATAGCTACAGGCTTAGTGCTGCTAAGAAGCGAATCATCAAATAATACATTGTTTAAATGCATGTCTAGAGGTCACCATACATAAATGGGGATTACCTGTACACAGACAATAACACGTACTCATTGATTGCTCGCAAACTACAGGCAGTTCAAGAACAATGTGCATGCATAATGTGCACACAATGTATGTTGATAATTACCATATATATATATATAACGCAGCTGGCAATGGATACCCATTAAAATGTATATGCATTCATTAATCCCCACCACCCTTCGTACAAGAAGCACTCACAAGTGACGTCATCAACAAAACAGGTCGTAGCTTCATGATGATGAAGCTAGTTGTAATAACTGGTGAAACGTCGTACTCAGATTGTAAATGTTGTGGATTTGCTCTCCAACACACTGGTGTGCTGTACTAGTAACAAATTCGCATGTTCTGTTTACATGATAAACCAATTGGCTTTGTCGGGTGGTGGCGGGTTTAACGACAGATTTATATTTACGTGATCTAACCCAAAAAAAAACTATATTATGGATATTGGTCGCGAAAGCCTACAAGTTAGTATTACATGCACTATCAAAAGAGGGGCTATCCCAAACATCCGTCCGGATTGGAGAGGTTTTCCTCTCATGAGGGTCCATGTTGAGAATAGTCCACAGAGGAGGATGAGGAGCGATCTCCCAGAGTTCCTCAGCGGAAGAACCGTGTTCACAGGAGGTGCCGAACCAGCAGCACACTCAATCTCCCATCTCGCAGGCGGCGGGGTCGGGGTGGGGCGGACGCTCGTGCCTGTTTACCACGGTTGGTTGGCGCAAGGCGCAACGTTGATAAATCTGCGGAAGAAAAAAAGCGTCAAGCCGCACAGTCCGTTGGTAACCCTCCCTCCCATCTTTCCCACCTGGCACACGCAAGCTGAGTCAGCGCAGCAGGAGGGGAACGGCGCGGGGGTGAGGCCGAAAGAGGTCCCGTGTCCGTGCCTGGACGGGATGTGGCGCCGGGTGTGAACGGGGATGCTCTCGTGACCGTGCGTTCGTTTGTGTGTATGCGCGCGTGCGTCTCACCTGTGGCCGTCCTTCTGCTGCACGAACCCCGGTGGCTGTTGATTCTCATACAATGGGGAAGCATCTCCCTCCCGGGGCTGGGAGACATGTGAAGGAGACCGCCATGGACATTAGCTCGTCGAGAACGCCCGAGGCAAACGAGCGATTCGCTCGCACATCCGAAACCCATGCTCTGGGCTTCACAGCGAACACCTTAACATGGCTGTCATTTCACGTGTGTGTACGGATATGTTGGTACTTGTACGTGTGTGTATGTACGTGCAGAGCAGTAGTGTAGCGGATAGCGCACTGCTCTACTAACCCGGTGACCCGACTTCGATGGCCGCTTATGGACAATACCAGTGACGATTATCTGAATGGGTCCTGGGGCTTCCCGAAGTCGACTGAGCCTCAAATAAGTACTTTGTGAAGTGTGTCAACATTGTCATTGGGAAGACAAAGGCGGCCGGGCGTAGTGTTGGCCACCTACCCCCTTGTGTGCCACAATGACGGCCTTCATAGATGCTTGCTAACAGCACTTGCTCCAAAAGTCTTTTAGGCTCTGTAGGGGATCTGTCTTTTTTACAGTTCTGTATGTGTTTGCATATGCAAGTCACTCCCTACCGATTCATGGCCAAACTTCCAATCAGCTAGCCGTGGCTTGCTGGAAGTGCCCCGGTCAGTGTACAGCACACCACTTGCATCCACGACCGTGGTGTCCGGGTTCACGAGTTCCTGCAGTCGGGAGAATAGGAAATCAGCACGCGGTGAACATATGGACTCGGGCCACTTGCCCAAGTGCGATTCTTCACGACGTCCCGGTGATAGTTTGCCTCTCGAGAAGAAACATTAACTCACACTCATCAACGATACTGTGGCCTTGAAATAAAAAAAACATAAACATGCATATGTGTAATTGGCGAGATACAGAGTTATATTCACCATTTCGAGAGGTGGAGGGGCACAAGGGTCATCCTTGAGGAGGCCATCATCATCCGTATCGATGTGCGTGGAGTCTGTTAACATCTCGGACTCAGACTGTGGCAGGTAGCCACTGCTGCCCCCGCTGCTGGCGCCACTGCTGCTGCCGCTGCTGCTGTTGTTTTTGCAGAAGCTGCTACCACAGCCGACGTACATGTCGATGCTGATGCTGGCGTGGCTCGTGTGCACACTGTTGCTGCTTCCCTCGAAGAGCAGCGCGTCCGCAGTGTGGACGGGGTGGAAGCTCATCGCCTCATCCACGAGCTCGATCAGCGCATCCCGGTCTATCTCTCGCCGGGCGGTTGTTCCTGCGACAAAAGGACTACCCCCTCGTGACTCACGCGCACTCGCAGCGCCCGAGAAGGTGGCATCGCAGAACGACTTTCAAAACCGTTTGGACGAGAGCCTCTGTCCGCATTAAAGGCACTACTTCAACATGTCTTACCTTTATCCCGACCCTGATGCCTGTTGTATATTGGGAATTTGCATGTCTCTCTCCCTGTGGTCACGTATATTTTTCTCACGGTCCTCCGGTTTTTCCCTCCACATTTAGAATCAACATCACGTGTTTAGCAACACATTAGACTGGGCGAGTCTCTCACCGCGAGCCGAGCTCAATCCCCTCACCTGGTCTCCTACCCTTGCCAGACAAGTCCATCGTGCGCCTCCATCTGCCGAGCGCCTTCTGGACATCTCCTTCTTCCACGCTCTCCTTCTCCTCCTCCTTCCGCTCCTTGGCGGCATCGACCGCGGCGGCGTCCCGCCACAGCTCCTCCAGGACCTGGCGCGCCCTCACCTGGGTCTTGGCGAGCTTCCTCTGCGCCTTGAGGAGGGCTTTGTCCGCCGCCGACCGACGTGACCCCTTCCCACAAAAAACGCCCCAGCAGAACAGGCTGCTCTCCTCCTTCTCCGGCAGGTCGTCGTCGGGCGACAGGTTGTAACGCGTCGCAGTCGGAATGTGGTCAATGACCACTTGTCTGCAAAGGCAGACGGAGCGTAATTTGGGGTCACAGATGCTTTGCAACCGTCGCACCAACAGTCACGGGCTTCTGTCAACTTGCATTCACACTCGAGTCAAGTGAAATTAGAATCTTTATTTATATTGGAGGAATCCGATGAACTATGAAGCTATTTTGGGGCCGTCCATAAATGACGTCTCGCACCTAGGGGGAGGGAGTGGGGTCAGACATTTGTGACGATGTGTGACGAGGGGGGGAGGGGGTTTTGATAAATGTGACGTCACATCAAAATGCGCAACTTTAAATAAACTTAATTAAATAGAATTGTTATAACAACACTAATTTTGATTAATTTTCATTATTAACTATTCGATTATTTATATTTACTAAGGTCACCTTTTTATTTATTTCACTAGCGGTAAGTACCCGGCGTTGCTCGGGCAAAAAAGGAAGATACACACATGGACTTACACACAGACATTGACCCACACACATAGAAACACATCAACTTAGACGCACACACACATATATATGGTTAAATCCAGGAAACGATCGTTAGCAGGCCAACCTAAATGTTTCTAACCGGTGAAGATGTTCCATTAGGGGGGTGCACGTTTCGCAAGCGTAGAGAAGGGAGGGAATTACCGTGCCCGAGAAGACCTGGAGCTTCATGGAGCGAAAGACCAGGTAGCTTCCACACAGCGTAACACAGCCGATGAAAAGATAATGGCGCTCGACTGATTTGGAGTGAGACCTCTGCTGTTAAACCGGAGCCGGTCATGAGCACATTGGCCAGGTATGGGAATCTCGGCAATCTCTCCACAACTACTGCATCACCAATTGTGAGTTGTGGGGGTGGATTGTTCGATAGTACAAAATACCCAGGCAGGTGCTTAGTTTTGGTGGGGCTGATAGTAAGGCTCCACCTCTTAGTGGCAAGCTCCAGGTTCAACCGCAGTGAGCAGCAATCACCAGAGCATCGTCATACATAACATGGTTGAGCGATAGGGAGGCATCCCTTGACCGCACCCGGGCATCGATCAGCCTCCCATTGTATCTGTACCATATGGTAATTCCTCGGGAACAGCCATTGAAGGCTTCACGAACTACGTGGTCAAAAGATGTTAAATAATGTGGAGCCAGAGGACATCCCTGTTACACCCTAAGGTGTAGAGGGAATGGCTCTGACTGACGGCCATGTAGTTTTACGCGGGGCCGCTCACCATCATGAAGGTCCTTAAGGATCATGAGCAAAGTTTGAGGGACTCCGAAAGCATGAAGAACAACCCAGAGGCCAGGCCTACTGATGGTATCATAGGCCTTGAGCAGGTCAATAAAGCACATACATTCACTCACTCACATGCACACATGAAGCTACAGACACGCAAAAAAATGGACTTACACTGACTGACATGGAGCCATGCACACAAAGCGACTATCACAGACAGCCATGGACTGACACACACAGACATCGACTCACACACACAAACACATGGACTTACACACACATACATAGACTGACACACATTGCCCTACACACACATAGACATATGGACTGTGACACACAGACATCTACTTTAGATAAACACACATGGATTAACAAACACACATCGACACACATAGACACACAAACGCACATTGACTTACACACTCAGATGGAGCCATGCACACACATCGACTCACACACATGCATTGACGTACACACATCGAGTGAAACACAGACGTATGAACTAACACACACATGTGGACTAACACACACACAGCGACAGATACGCACACAAATGGACTGACACACACACACAAACACTTGTACGTACACACACACGGGGCGTTGTCCATTTGAAAAAGACAGATACACACATGGACCCACACACATAGAAACCCATCGACTTACACGCACACAAACACATGGACTTACACACACAGACATCGACTTTCGGCACACACATCTAGTTTCTGCACACGAACATTATAACAGTAATAGAGTATTAGGCAACTTATTAGTTGAATAATAGTAAAGAATGAAGCAGAGTTGCTATATGCACACAAACATTATCATTGTAATGTTTGTAAACGTATTTGTTTAATAATAGTAAACAATAAACCTGAGTTTTTAGCGAAAGATTGAATAAAATTGTACTTTACATTGGCGTGGTGACGCCTCGTCCCGTGCAGAGCCCGCGGCCTCGCCTAGATTGGCAAGCCGGAGGAGGTGAGACGTTGCCAGGCTGCGAGCTGGGCCGCTACCCCCGCCCCCCCCACCATCCCCCCGCCCTCGCCATAATAATACTATGTAACCGCTTTAATAATATAAAATTAATATCTAAGGACTTTATATGAGTAACTGCACGCATGGGGGGGGGGGGGGGGAACAGGACATCACACTGTGAAGATAAATCGGCAGCGTGATGTGTATATCTATTCCATGTTAAACGCGTAAAATAAAATGTCTCCCGTGAGCTGGAGCGAACGCGCATGACTTGGCAGGGTCCGCCCCCCCCCCACGCAATTGGCGTCACTTGGTACGGTCGATGTCGCGCAATAAGTAAATAATGAATAATAGAAACGGCACAAATGTGTTAATTAAACTACTTTAAAGTTTACGGACGGGAAAACGGAATAGCCTAAACCCACCACGGGGCTTAGGGCGTGCCGCCTGGAAAATTATTTCGGTCTTAAACCCCACCGTCCGAGAGCCAAATCCCCCGCAAGCGCGAGTGCGCGGAGACTTTTATATATAAGACTAGCGGAAGTACCCGGCTTTGCCCGGGTGAAAAATATATTTCTTAAAAACCTTACATATATATACACAGATACTAAGGTATTGTCAAAGCCCGGTGGGCCTGTTTGTACATTTCTCCACCAACAAATATATAAGAGGCTTTCACAAGTCCAAAAAGTTGTAGAAAGTGTGGGGTAAATAGTTGATGTCAAAATGTTTCCGAAAATTGCGGTCTCCCCCCCCCCCCCCCCTCAAAAAATATCTTTACCCCTCGTAGGTATATATACTAACAACACCTTACATACAACAGAGGAAGTGGTATCTATTGACTCTGTAGTAGTATCTACTGACTGTACCGTAGTATCTACTGAGCCAGTAGTAGCTACTGACTGTGTAGTAGTATTTAGTGACTGTAATAACTACTGACCATAGTAGTATTTACTGGGCCTACAGTAGTATCTACCGACTATATACTCGTAACGACTAACTGTATAGTATCTGCTGACTCTATAGTTGTGTAGGAGTGTTAAAGAGAGGGCCCGTTATGCATGGCAGCCTATGGAAAACAAACACAGTGGGCGGGGCTACGTAAGTGCACGAGGAGGTGCCCTCTACGACGTCCGAGCCAGACACCCTGGGGGGGGCTGGTTCGAACGTTATGATCCCCCGGGGCCCCACCCCTCAGGGAGGGGTTGGGTATAAAAGGGGATGTTCAAAGGGCTCGAGTCAGTTATGTTTAAGCTAAGGGAAGAAGACTGAAGACGTCTTAGATAGAGCCCTGGACTCCCCTAGTTCGATGTCCTTTTCAGGGCCGGACAGGACTGAGCCAGCGGCGTGGTCCCGAAAGCCAGAGCCGGTGCTCTTGTAAGAGCTGGTCTGGAACTCCGGGTACCGGGCCCGACTTACCAGTGTCGGGCCAGTTAGCCTCCCCTAGCCCATTAGTGGAGGATTCGGGGCTAGGACAGAGTTAGCTAGGGGTGTATCCCGAGTTATACGGGTGAGGGGGCCGATACCCCCTCGAGAGTGTATATGCCCTCTGTCATACTGTGAAATAAATATACGTGTGCCTCAACCTCGGCGTCAAGCGTCTTCACCGGTACTTCAACTGGTGTCAGAAGTAATTCGAACATGGACACGCGGAAAACAGCGCGGGCCAAAGTACCGCAGGAGGAAGACACTGCCGAGATCGTCGAGCCCGAGACGGCTCCACAAGACATGGTGCAGCCGGGGCCTGACGCCTCCTTACCGGGGCATCGGAATGAAGAGGGGCCGCAGCCAGACGCATTACGGCTGGCTCACGGGAGGCTGGCGGAGCTGCTGTATGCCGCTGCCGCCACGCTGGAGACCATCACGCGATTGGGGGCCGGTGATCCAACACGGGGCGAGGCGAGCCAACGACCAGGGCGCCTTCCCGCCATTTCGGAGCAGTCCGAATTTGAAATTCCCGCCATCGACGCTACAGCTGTTCAGGGCGTGGCCAGCCTGAACATCCGCTCCGACATCGCCGTCGCTGGAGCTGCAGCGTCATCACCGCCGGAGGGTGCGTCATCACAACCGCGACAGGCGATCCCATCGGCCGTTCGCACCAACGCACAGCCGAGTGGTGGTGACATCTGCCTGCGGGAGTCTACAACAACCGCTGCGCTTCATCAGAGACTGCCCCCGCTGAAGGAGTTAATCGGCGCGGAGGGGGACCGACGTTTCTTCGCCCATCAGGAGATGGCGAAATGGTCCGATGAGGAGGCTCTCTGCGCGCTGCCGGCGCTCCTCGACGGCGACGCGCTCGCCGCACTCACATCGGCGCCGAGAGAGAAGCGGTCTACGTTACCGATGGCGCTACAGCTGCTGGGCGGGGTCTATGGACCATCAGCCGAATGCCGACAGCAATTTTACGACCGAAAGCGGGGTGAGAAGGAGTCGCCCCTAGCATTCCGGACGAGCCTCCTGGCGATGGCTAAGTCGGCCTTCCCTCGTATGGACGACGACGGCGTCGACGCTATGGTCACGGAGAAAATCCTCCTCCTGGCAGACGACCTTGACATCGCTGTCGTCGCGCAGGAGGACGCGTAAATGACATCGCTCCAGGCGGCGCGGCTCCTCCACGCAAACCTCCTGTCGCTCCGGCGGAAAGCCAGCAGGGCATCGGCGGGGCGTGCGGTGGCTGCAGTCACCCTTCCGACGGAGGAGCTCTACGCCGTCGACCACCGACGGCAACAGGCGACGGGAGCACGGTCGGGCCGGGACGGGTCGGGCCGTTCCGACCATCCGTCACCTCCGACGGCGCTCCCGCGGTGTT